GAAACGATGTACAAATGCGCTTTACACAATTGATGTGTGTATGGATTGGGATAACAGTTGTATGATCCCCTAATAAAATGTTAAAAAAAAAAGAATATATACACTAACATAACTACATATAAATATGCAAACAGATTTCTAAATATACAATCTCTTGGGCAAAATGTGGTCCATCCATACAATGGACAATTATTCAACTACAAAAAGTAATGAAGTATTTATATATGCGACAATATGAATGAACCTGGAAAACATGCCAAATTAAAGAATCTAGATACAAAAGGCCACATACTATATTATTCTACTTACAGGGAATGTCCAGAAGGAAATATTTAGAGATAGAAAGTAGATTTGTGGTTGCCAGATGCTGTAGGGGTGAGGGAGGGAATATTGCAGGAACAAATAATGGGTAAGGGTTTTCTTTTGGGATCATAAAAATGTTTCACAATTAGACCGTGGTGATGGCTGCACAACCTTGAAATATACGATAGAATGATATATTTCAGAATAGTGAATTTTATGGTATATAAATTATATCTCAGAGAAAGAAAGAAGGAAGGAAGGAAGGAAGGAAGGAAGGAAGGAAGGAAGGAAGGAAGGAAAGAAATGGGGAAATGATCAAGAGGAGACTTCTATTTAATGATCAAAGCAAAGCAGATGGCAGCTCACACTGCGAAACTTTCCTGCTATAATTATCATCATTCATTCATTCATTCAACAGATAGTCTTTGAGCACCTAACTATATAGAAAAATCAGAGCAGTATCTGTTCCCACTTGCCTTTTGTTGCTTGAAGCCCTCAATAAGTAAATCAATATCTGTAAATGTGAGAGGAAATTGCAGTCGTGGCCCATTGTAGGACTCTGGGACATTTATCATCTTCACGTAATCCTCTCTATCCTTCTCCTGAGGGTCGTTACGAAAAATTCGAGTTACTAATTCTGGAAAGGGGAAAAAAGGGAGAAAAATCAATGTTCCCATACTTAAAGTTATCAAGTATCTTCAAGATCTTGTTGACACATGATTTTGTTAAATGTTAAGAACATCAAGCTTCTGAGCTAGATGGCCGCTTGTTTACCTTCAAGCTTTTAAGA